TGAGACTGTGAGCTAACACAGGATTCAGTCTTTTTCTTCATGTTATTCAACATTTATATGAAATTTCTGTGAGTAAATTTGGGGTGAGGTATCATTAATATGCTTGTGCTAACTGTACATTGCCACCCTGGATTACACTGGAAATGCTGTGGACGTCTTGAGTTAGTGTCTAAAAGCTGTGAGGGGCTAGATGGGGAATTTAGTCTCAGTTCAACTCTAACAAGACAGAGGTGCCATTCCAGAAACTTTGGTTCTAGTGTTGGCAACAAATGAGTTGCACTCTCCATGAAGTAGCATCTCTGTACCATTTCAAAATGCTTATAAGGATCTGCATGAATGAATGTCATCTCTTATAAATCATCATCATCTCTGCATTAGACATCAGCCATATCAGAGGAAAACTTGAGTTATTGTCACAAAAGAAGCAAGGATTTTTAGAGATAGGTAATATTCAGTCATATGATTGTTCGAATGTAAAAATCAGTCTGTATTGTATGAATGGCTCCTTGTCACAAAAATAAAATCTTCAATGAAAAAAGAACTGCAGTATTAAGAAGGCAGGTAATTTTTAATGTGAAGTGATCACTGAGGGGCTTTACTCTGCAATTCCATTCTGCCTATGACAACAAAATAGAAAAACTGTTAAAAACGTATATGAAGAATTACTTGTGATTTAATAACAAAAGCTGCTAAGGCGAGGGGCTTCATTCATTCATTCATTCATTCATTCATTCATTCATTTGGTTTTTGCTTTAAAAAGACAAAATAGTATTGCTTCTGGATTTGGCTTTTCTTTTTCTTTTACAATAGGTTATAAGTTATTGAAAACAAATTAAGAAGTATTACTTGAGGAGTTTCAAAGTCCAGTTGTTATGAAATATACTTAGCACTATATTACCAAGTTGATTAATATCACAGAAATAATAATGTACATTGTGGGCCAATTGAAAGTGTTCATCAAGTGTTCCAAGCTCAAAAAAACTTTGAAATGTTTCAAGAGTCCTAGACTGTAACAGAACAAAAATGATAATGGGCACCATATGGAACATGGAAATTCAAAGCAAGCTCTTTGTCCATCAACCATTTACCCTAAGGACACAAAAGTATATAGGGATGAAGTCCATGCTGAATGCTACCTATTACCTACCTAACTTATAGAAAAATTGGCCAATAATATTTTTATTTTATTTTTACTTTAAAATTCTCATAGCAAACAACAGAAGGAACAGTAAAGCAGTTTTGTAATCAGTGCCTGTACCAAAAAACCATAGAGCTTTAAGCAAAGAAGCAACAACAAGAAATGGATTCATTTAACACAAACTAGAACAAAGTAATAGCAGCAAAAATACAATGATTGGTCTGAAGTTTCTTTCTACTGCATATGCACAGTGTATGCTTTTGGATGTGGCAATCTGCCTGTAAAGCTCAACAAATGATCAAAGGAATATACAGTGTTGGCATTTAACCTGAAACCTCAGCAGCAAAGCTATCTCAAAATTAAATACAAAAGTATTTAATGTATACTTTTAGGTTGGGCAGTTTCTGTGAAAAATATAGCAAAAATCACAGGACAGGACAGAAGGGGATGGCGATGTTAAATTGTCACTCATTAATTCTAATTTCCCAATAGCAAATAATTTAAAACAGCAGTAAACTTACCTACTGGGCAAACAGGAGTTTTAATGTCCAAAATGTTTCTTCTAAATATCTAAATATGTAAACTGATTCTCTTAATACTTCTCTCCATATAAGCTCCAACTAAGGGCACAAGCAATGGAACCTGTGCCTGTTTCATTTGTAATGCATTCTACGAGTCTCTCTGGTTAGAATTAAAAATAGGCAGACACAATTGCAGGACACTGCAACATTGGAAACAAAGTGAAACCAAATGCCCCATGTGTCAGAAGCTTGAATTCTCGGTGTTTTGCTGCAGATTTAGAATACTTGTAACAGCAGTTTTAAGCCCAGAAAATTTTGCACATTTTTAACAGCAAGCAATAACCAATTTCAGCCAACATATTTAAATAGCTACAATCCCATTCCTATATCTCAATTAAAGCCTCATCGATAAATTATTCTAATGGTTTAAACAGTGAATATATGATACTAATAGATTAACAGCTGAAAGGATAGAGAACGTTGGCATTTCAATACTATATTGTAAAACTGAAACAAATGTAAGTCTGGATCATGACTTATTTGTCTTACACATGTATCATATATGCATACACACGATGTAGTTTTAAAAGGATATTCTATATGAACTGTTTTCTTGTGGATATTGTATTCAGTTTAATTAACCTTAACCTATGTTAAAAAAAAATGATAGCACAAGTTTAATGTGGGATCTTTGTGTAGAGTGGATATGAGATTAAGGTTTATTAACTCATCCTCAGAAAGAGTCTAACATTCTAACAGAATTCATTAAGATCAAGAAAAGTTGAATAGGTCAAAAAACCCTGAAGAGATAAACAGTATTGCCAGTTGCTACATCTGAGTTTATATGAAAGCCTGCTGGGTGTATAATAGTTGAGAAAATTTAATATGCCTATTTGGTAGGCATTTCAACACCTTTAGCTAGCAAAATGACAAAGCAGAATAATTACAGTACATTGCAAAGTAACTAGTAATGTAGGAAAAATGTCATAAATGTCAAAGTTACATATTTAATTCTGCATTAAAACTATCTGGAAAACCTCTTTGCCTCTTTCCCTTCTGTCCCTTTAGTTACTTGGCTTGGCAACACTGTTTGTGATCCACTTTCTAAATAAATATTGCCAAAATACTGTTGTTACAAAGGCAAAATGTATTACTTTTCTACTTATATGTGCCACAGAGGTGTAATGAGAACCAATAAAAAAAAAGTGACAGTCTGTGATTTTAAAACTTACATATGGTACAATAAGTACAGTATTTTTTTTCAATGTATCATATAATGCTAATGATCCAAGCTTCAGTTGAGCCTCTAAAGAAAACGTGTGTTCTATTCTAAAAAAAATATCCAAAAAGATAAGAAAGGACTACCTACTTCTAGATGCCTCTTAGGCAAACACACCCTTTTGTTTTGTATTTGGCCCTCCAAACTGCCACTTGCCTTCCACTTCCAGTCATAGAGAATTGTACTATCAGCTGAACTAGAATCAGTATATGGACCTCATTTATCATAGGAATGGACTATATGCCCAAAGGATGGGCAATCTTTTGGATAATGCCAGTTCAATCAAATAAGCCACTGATGTCAGCTGATGCCAATTGCAGAAGTGAAATGTTGCTAAAATCAGCAACCTCCTGAATAGATCAAACTTCTCGATGTAACACTGGCCAGCCTTCTTAATTCAGATTGATAAAGGAAAATCTTATTCTTTTGCTATCAGAGTAACAATGAATTTTTTATGAGACCTTTAAGTTGATAATCACAGCCCTGTTATAAACATGGATATGTTCCTACTTAAATACGAAAATAATAGTCACCATCAAGCAACTTCTTGCATACTATATTATAGTTGATATTAAACATTCAGTGGATTCCTTAAACATTCCAGTACTCCATGTCATTTTTTTTTCTATTTCTCAGAATACAGTGGTACCTCTAGTTACGAACTTAATCCGTTCTGTGACTCTGGTTGCAACTCG